TTTTTTTTTTTTTTTTTTTTTTTTTTTTTTTTTTTTTCAAATTGCAATTCCATGAGTTTCTAGCCAAAATTGAGAATTAAATAGCCTTTTCGATAGATGTTTCGAAGTTTCTTCAAGACATTTTATAAGCCTCCGGAATTTCTCCAATTCTAAAATTTCGTGAGTGATTATCCCCTCGAGTATATTTCAAGTATCCACAGTAAAAATCCAATATTCAACGCATGTAAAGGTCCCAAAGCCCGAAGAAACCTGAAAAAACTGGCCTGAAATTTAATCTCAATAAAAAATACTGACGAAAAGACTTTCTCAACGAAATGCAAAACATAATCAATAAATTTCCAATCATCAATTCCACAGGTACCCTCGTGAATTGGCAAATGACAACCAACTCAAATCCAATTAATCCTAAACATTACCCTTAAATTGATAAAATAGACAATATATTCTGCCGTGGGTTACGGTCCGACAGATTAATTGAACGATTTAGTGGCGTGACATCCCGTGCCACGATTGACAATCATGTTTACACGTTGACAGAGACACATCTATGTATGCTATTTTAACACTGTTACCAGAATATTTAAACTGATAACATTATCCCAGTTGGACAACAGCTGTTTATGGACACCCCTTTGAAACCGTTACAGCCCTTCGATATGATTCATAAAAAGCTCCTCAATATCTACTTTCTCGTATTGCCTATTTCCCTACGATTTCTATCTCGGCATGGTTTTTTGCAAAATAAAATCCACGTTTTTCCGTTATTCCTCTTTCGGAAAATGGAACTTTTTCAATCCTCAATAAATCGAGATCGGTTGAGTGACATTCAGTGACTTTATCATCACTCTCAAGATATTTTTTCCAGGCTTTAAAATTAAATGTCATGTTTTCAGATTTTAATGATTGAGGCAGTCCCATTCACCTCTTAACGCAGAGTCCAAGATATTTTGATTATCTTTTGATGTTAGTCTCAAAAAAAAAAAGAAAAATAGTTGCTGAAAACGTTATTACGATAGCAATGGTCAACACCCGATACATGCCAGACTTCTCTCAAAAGCTCTCAAAGTTGTTTGTATTTACTCACGATAAACGTTATCGATATACGTATGATAATCCCTGGGTTGTATCGATTTTACATTGTGTACTGAGAGAGAAGAATCCTTGGCGTTGGGAACGAGCCGGTACCGGCGCCGCCGGCAGGCAGTTCGGGTCAGGTGGTGCACCACGCGAGAACAACTTTTTTGAAGGGAACGAAGACAGCACGATCTTGCTCGCAGTCGAAGAAACGTCGGCCATGAAATGTCCCGTCAGACACTCCTGATTCTGTTGGTAGTTCAACACCAACATGAATATCCTCTCTACCTGGCACTGGCCCAATGTAACGAACTCTTCCTTGAAGTACTCGGCCTTCGGGCGATATCACTTTTACTAGGTGATCCAACTTTAAATCTCGTGGAATCTAATTTAGAATTGGGGAATGAAGAACACATGTTTGAGTTTTCTTACGAAATTACAAATTGGAAATTTTTTTCGATATCAGTAAAGGTCAAATGCTGACGAGGGTCAAGGTCTCAAGGGTCTGAATTTCATAAATTGGATCTTGTTAATCTTTTTGTGACAATATACACTTGAGAGGAAAAACGGAATACTTTTTTTTATTAAAAAAAAGCTTTCCGAAGGCAGAAAAAAATTCCGTTGACAAAAATTAATATTCACTTTGAAAAAAAAATTTCATTTGTATTTCTCCTACGCATTTACAAGTCGCCAGGGCCGTGAGAGTCGTCACACTCTCGTATACGTATAAAAAAGTGGATGGAAATTCACCCAGCGAATAGCCATGTGCGTAAAAGTTCAGACTGGTAACCTAAGGGTCGTGGGTTCAAGCCCAACCTCCGGCGTTTGTCACATTTTTTCAAATCGTAATTCCATGAGTTTCTAATCAAAATTAGAAATCAAATAACTTTTTCAATACTGGATCGAAATTTATCGAATAATACACACGTCGACGTGAGCCGAGGCATTTTCCTGGAAAAACTGAATAAAAAAAAAATAAAATCATACCTTCACCTTGATGAAGAGTAATTTTTCCCCTCAGACAGAAATCCAATTTCATACCAACAAATTGAATATAAAATTGGAAGTCCAACTAATCGCGTACATTCGAGTTAAATTCCTGGAAAACAGGAAATTATTTTTTTTTTACCTTTGGTAAATATGGCCTCGCGTCCTGCGGTGGATTCCACTCCCTGAAGAGATCCGGCTCGGAGTGTCTCCTCGTTCGTCTTCGCCTAGCTGATTGCCGACTCCAGTAATCCCCCGAAATAGTTAACATCGAATCGATACTGCGTCTGAGGTACTCCTCAGCCTCGTCAATGAGGGACTCGGTTGAGTCGCCACTGTTTTCACTGGCTATTGCGTCTGATCGTAAATTCGGCAGGCTTCCTCTTATCATTGGGCACTCTAATACAAGCAAATAAAAAACATATCATGACCATTTAATGTTCAATATCTCAAGATTGACTGAGTGAAGAAAAAAATTTTTTTCTTCATTCCAAAGATATTTCTCCACTTTTTTTTGATTATTCATTCATAACTTAATTTTTCAAAACTTCTGCATGATGCAGGACTTAATTGACAATTCCAGACGACGAAAGGTGAAAAAAAACATCGAGATAATGTTCGAGAGATAGTTCACCCGGGCCTCAATTCAAGAGATATCCATGAATAACCGAAGAGCGAAATAAATTTCCAAAAGCCTACCTTGAAACGTAACTTTGGAACGCGTTCGTTTCGGTGGATTCTTCACACCCCGTGTGACACTGGGTGGATGAATATGGGTGGGTGACGACGGCATTGATGACCAGGTGGGCCTAGGCGTGGAGGTGGCAGCTGGCACCTTCCACGTGTCGAAGGAGGCTGCATTCGCCCGCCAGGAGTGTCTCCTGGGTGGGCCCCCCACGACCTCGAGCCCAGGGGATGGAATCGACGTCAACGAGCCCCGATAGCGAGACGAATACAGATCTGTTGACAATCTACAGTCACAGGGGCTGGGTAGACCAGTGGCTGTGTTGCATCGTGGCCAATAGCCAGCTGGCGACCCCAGGGATTCACGACGATTGACGTCGGGAGTGCGCATACCGCATCCACGAGAATTGAAACAATTCTGGGGCAGAAGAATTGATGAATGAATGAACTGAACAGATTCGTCTCAAATGGTTCATGAGGGTCATATCGGAAAGGATCGGGCAGGGGGCGCAGCCCCCCTAGTATATGTCTAATTAATTATTTTAATCAACCACTTACACCTAAATACATTAAATTTGAGCCTGTAATTAGCTTTATGCTGTTGGCTCTATCTCTCTCTATATAATAAAAAAATAAGGGCAAAATTTAAGACAATTCAGGGGACGCAAAAATTCAGGCGACGCCTAAAGGTGGGGGGGGGGTAGTCAGGGGG